GTTCCACGTGGTCCGTGGCCATTTTTCCGCCCGTGCCATGTGGTCCGCGGCCATTTTTCCGCCCGTTCCACGTGGTCTGCAGCCATTTTCCGCCCGTTCCACGTGATCTGCGGCCGTTTTTCCGCCCTGCAGTGTGGTCCGTGGCCGTTTTTCTGCCTTGCCGCGTGGTCCGCGGCCATTTTTCCGCCCGTGCTGCGTGGTCCGCGGCCATTTTCCACCCATTCCACATGGTCCGCGGCCATTTTTCCGCCCGTGCCATGTGGTCCGCAGCCATTTTCCGCCCGTTCCACGTGATCCGCGGCCGTTTTTCCGCCCTGCCGTGTGGTCCGTGGCCATTTTTCCGCCTTGCCGCGTGGTCCGTGGCCATTTTTCCGCCCGTGCCATGTGGTCCGCGGCCATTTTTCCGCCCGTGCTGCGTGGTCCGCGGCCATTTTCCACCCATTCCACATGGTCCGCGGCCATTTTTCCGCCCGTGCCATGTGGTCCGCGGCCATTTTCCACCCATTCCACATGGTCCGCGGCCTTTTTTCCACCCCTGACACGTGGTCCGCAGACGCCGGAACGGATTAACGGTAATTACATTGAACCTTATGGGAAAATTTGCTTCGGGTTGTGACCAAATCGGGTTGTGACCAGAGTCACGGAACGGATTAAGTTCGTAACCCGAGGTACCACTGTACATGGTGCAGCTAGCTTAAAAAGTAGTTTCCCTCAAATTATGCCCATGTAATTTTCTTAGCAAGTGACCAAATCGGGTTGTGACCAGAGTCACGGAACGGATTAAGTTCGTAACCCGAGGTACCACTGTACATGGTGCAGCTAGCTTAAAAAGTAGTTTCCCTCAAATTATGCCCATGTAATTTTCTTAGCAATAATGCAGAAGTGGTTTGCCATGGCCACCTGGCCACCTTCGGGGGTGTTTTTTCAACTTCCCAGTCTAACCTAAAGACCTAGTATTTACTGGTGGTCTCCCATCCAGATAAAAACTAGGACTGATCCTACTTAACTTCTTACCCCAGACAAGGTTAGTTGCTGCCTCTTGTTGAAAAATAGGTAGTTTTAATGTTTAGTTATTTATATTTATATCCATTCTTTGAAATAGGAAGGTTATGATATTACTTCTTCCCAATATTGTAAAATAATCAAGACCAAATTTTCAGTGAAAAACTAAAACCCATTAGAGGTAAAAACCATTGTTTTCCTTAAGAGGAACATATTTACATTTTTTAATCTGTTACTTATAGGTTACACATTTACCATCTTTTAGAGAAGTAAATTGAAAAATAAGGGTATGTTTACCAGTTCTCAGTATGAAAATAATAGATAGCCCAAAGAGATATGCAGTGACCTATACCAGTAGTTGTCATTTCACAAATATCTGACACATCCTTAATGATGAAAGGAACTCTGAATTTTGAAGACTGAATCATATAGCTGGTGACAGATGTATGAAATAAATTTCTCTTTATGTCTTTCTCTTGCTTGGAATAATATTTGTTCCATATGTATGTAACTCATACATAATTCTTCCTTTTTCTTTCAATCTTACAGGGTTCTGTTTTTGGAAATGCATCTAATTTGTTGCTACAAAATTTATCACATCTACATCTGGCACAGCTAGCAAAGATTGAGAATATACAAGCTAATAGTGTGAGTTAAATAATTTAAAAAGTCCTGTACTTACAATTTAGGCCAGAGTCCTGGATAAAATAGAAAGTGGAAATATCTTCTAGTCCATATTTTTTGTTGCCAATAATAATAGTACTAGTATTATTTCCTTTTTCTTTGTCTTCTGTGATCAGCTAATATGGTAAGAGAAAGTATATGCACCGAAAATCTTTGGATCAATTTTAATAAAATACAATTTAAAAAGTAATCTATAATACTTTTTCTTTGCAGAAACCAAGTTTGCTTGGAGAGCCTCCAGCTATGTTGCTTCAGACCATGTTAGGAACGGGGCCTTTACCACAAGTGGCCACAGACATAGGGAATCAAGGAGAACCATGCAATTGCAAGTGACATTTTGTTTCCTATTATAGTAGCAGAAATTAACTTTGAAAATACAGGTAGCCCTCGCTTACTGGCTGATTTAGCAACCATTCGAAGTTACAATGGTGTAAAAAAAACAGCTTTGTGACCAATCCTTGCATTTACAACTGGTCTGCGGTCACTTGATCACTATTCAGGCACTTCGCAACCAGCACACATTTACAACCATTGCAGTGTCCCATGGACACATGATCACCATTTGTGTGCTTCCCAACTGGCTTGCAACAAGCAGAGTTAACGGAGAAGCCGGCAGTAAACTCACACATTGCGGTCATGTGATGTTTTGCTTAACAACCATGGTGACTTGCCTAACAACCAAATGGGATGTGATATCGTAAGTCTGTTGTGGTCAGTTGATTTTCCACTTAGCAACCGTGGCGCTTAGTGATGGAGTTACTGGTCCCAATTGTGTTCACTAACCGAGGGCTACCTGTATTCTTCAGATTCTGTATAAAATGTTTATATTTATGTACAATACTCTAGAATTGTTCAAGCAACCTTGTAAAGACTATCAAGGTCAACTATAGCTGTTTTAAATAATTAGTACTGAATTTATATTAGTTTAAATTCTGGCTCTGGATGGTTCTTGATTCTAGCCAAGAGACTTCACCTTTATCTTTTATTTTGCCATAACCATCTACAACTTTGTCAGTATGTAACCTATTCAGTAATTTTGTAGATATGCTTATCAAGATGCTGCATATTTAGTATGGTTGTGTACCATGTTCATTATCTTTATAGTGCATTGTTAATTTAGAATACATTGTACAGAATCAAGCAAGAAAATTGCTAACAAGGAGCAAGAAGCAAAAAATAAGCATGGACTACATAGCTTAGGAAGTAACAGAAGAACAAGGCAATTAAGTATCACAACGTTTTCCCATCATCAGTTGTGACGCTTAATTCTTGCTAAGACTTCTAGAACTGACATGGCTGTTGGTTCCAAGATCCAGTTCGGCTGCACTGCTGACCATGTTTAGAATCATAGAATCAGAGTTTTGGAAGGGACCTTGTAGGTTTTCTGGTCCAACCCCCTACCCAGAACTTCATATTATTCCAGACAAATGGCTTGAAAACAATTTCAACCTTTTTTGAAAATTTCCAGTGATGGAGTACTGATGACTCCAGGAGGCAGGCAGTTTAACTGCTTAATAGCATTCATAGTTGGGAAGTTCCTCTTTATTTTGAGTTTGGATTTCGCTCTGTAAACCTTCCACTCATTGATTCTCATCTTACCCTTACAAGCTGTGGAGAATAAATCCAACCCTCCCTTCCCATGACAGCCTTTCAGATATTCAAAGGTATTCATGTCTTCCCTTAGTCTTCTGTTTTTAAAGCTAATCATACCTACTTCCTTTAACCATCTTCATAGTCCTCCAAGTCCATCATCCATCTTTATCCCTCTTCTCTGCACTCTTTCCAGTTCCTCTTTAATACCAGAAGTTTTGTCTCTACTATGATATAAACATATAGGAAACCAACTGAATGACCCTCAGTTGTCTGAATCATACAAAGGGCAATGTAAGTGCCTTGTTTTCAAATTAAGAATGTTGTCTGGCCAGTTAGTTTGAGAGGGCCTCTGCTTTGATAGAATGTACTGGGTAAATTAATTGAAACTAAGATAATTCTATGATTGTTTGCCTGATAGTTTTCTGTACTTTTATGGAATCATTAATTTAAAATCCTTAAGTTTACTGTAATAATGTACTGTCACAGTATGGTACTGTAGTAGTAGTGAGTTCGGGTATGGAATTATAGTGAGTGTTTGTTTTTGGGAGGTACCTCAGGATTCTTTCTCATCTCCTATATCTTTTTATATTTATATGAAACTACTACTATTGATACTTAAGTTTGAGTGCAAGTAATGTCTACATGTGAGTGATGTGCAGTTTTGCCTTTTCCATCTATGAATTCCAAGGAAGCTGTAAATATCCTAAATAGCTTTTTGAGGCAATTAGTAGTTGGTTGATGGCAGAGAAGTTGAAATTCACCTAGATAAGACAGAAGAATTATGGTGCTAATTATATCTGGATTGAAGTGTGCAACCACTTCTGGGCAGGTTTGTACCATCCTTGAGAGATCCAAATTCACATCTTAGGAGTTCTTCTGGACTTGGCATCATCAGTGGAATTAAAAATGGCATCAGTGGCTGTCAATTATTGTAACCTTTAACAAATACACCAATGTGACCCCATATAAGGAAAGTGGATCTAGTTACATCCTGAGTAGCTGTTGTAGCGTGATGTAGTGTGTGGAGGATTTTATCACTGCAGTGAGACATTCTGGCAAGTGAACTTAAATGGGCCCTAGAAATTATTATTAATAGTGAAGTTGAGTTGATGGAATACCAGCAGAACTGTTTAAAATCTTGTAAATAGTGCAATTAGTGCTCCATGTGATTTTTTTAGTAGGCATGAAAATCACAGCAATGGGCAAGATCCATTTGTATTCCAATAGCCAAACCTCTAACTCCTCTAACAGAGTTAGAGTTAGTATTCCAATAACCATTTTTATTCCAATAACCAAAAGGGCAGTGTTAAACAGTGCTCAGACTATTGAGCAATTGCACATAGCTCACATGCTGGTAAGATAGTGCTAAAAAATTTTTGTTCCAGACTTCAACAAAACATGGAATGAGAACTGTCAGAGGTACAGACTGAATTCAGAAGAGCAGAGGCACCTAACATCATATAGCTAATGTCCAGTGGATAATGAAAAAAACAAGGGAGTTTTTTGTTTATTGATTATACAAAGGCATTTTGCTGTGCAAAACATTGGTGTACTAGGTCACCTCATCTGTCTACTGAAGAACGTGTATGATGACCAGAACAGAATAGTTATTTATTTTGTTCCAATTTATATGGCCTCCCATCTCAAATTCATGACTTTGAACAGCTAAAAGCAGTTAAATACACCATGAAAAAATATAACAGCTTTTTAAAAAAGCAACACACATATAATCAGCAGCCAAAGTAAAAACAAAACCACCAATAACAAATCAACACAGCCATAGAATGGGCTCTGCCACACATTCAGACCCCCAAGCTTGGTGACAAAACCATGTTTTTAAGGCCTTGTGAAAGGACAGCAGGATCAGGCCCAATCTAATCTCTATAGGAATGATGTTCCAAAAGGTGGGCGCTACAATAGAAAAGGCTCTCTTTCTGGGCCTGCCAGATGATACTCTCTAGTAGATGGAACCTGGAGTATGCCTCCCCTGCCTGGCCTGATTGGATGTGAGTAGACATTAGTAGAATATGGAAAAAATAAATGATTCAAAATTGAGAAAGTGCCAAGATTATATATTGTAAACTTGTTTGTTTAACTTGTATGCAGAATTATCTCATGAGACTAACTGAACTAGAAGTAATAGAAATTGGAGTTAAAATTACTGGGAGAAATATCAACACTTTCAGATATGGGGGTAACTGGAAGCAAGGTATACTTAGGGAATCCCTCGAAGGTGAAAGAAAATACAAAAGTCAGTCTGCTGCTCAGTAGTAAAACCCCTAAGATTACAGTATGTCCACAGGCAAAGCCAACACAATGCAGATAGGTGGGGAAAAAGTTGAAATAATAACAGACTTTTACCTTCCTTGAGTCATAAAGTCAGAGGAATGATGACTGTAACCATGAGATAAAGAGATGTATGTAACTTGAAAGAAAGTCTATGACAAATCTGGACAAAACAGTTAAGGCAAAGAAACCTCACATTCACAATAAAGGTACATATTGTAAGGTCACTGTTTTCCCAGTTATAACTTATGATTGTGAAAACTGGGCCTTAAAATAGTAAGTGAAGAAAAATTGATGCCTTTGAATTATGGTACTTGGTGAAATAATTAAGAATATCTTGGACTGCAAGAAGTAGAAATCAGTACTAGATAAAGTAAAAATAAACTGCTTAGTGTAATATCAATAATAATAATGAAGTTTGGTCTTAAATATTTTGGACATGTAGTGTAAAGGCAAAAGTCATTACAGGATCCTGATCCTTGAGAAAACTGAAAGTGTTTTAAAAGGCCCAGCAAAAGACAAGGTGGCTAGTTGGTATAACTGGTGACAGAAGCATGAGATTAATCACTTGGAGAAGTAGTTATTGACAGACAGTTTGGGTCAGTTTGGTGTTCATTGGGTCATGAGTTGGAAGTGACTGCAGGATTGAACAACAACAAACTGGTCATCTGGATTTTTTAGTCCAGATCTAGTATCTGTAAGCTAGATGAATGATGGTTGAGACAATTATTGTCAGAGTTTATTTAGGTTTGTGAGAATGAGCAAGGAAAAAGCAATCTTCATGTCAGACAGTCTTTGTATTTGCAAAAGGATGCTGACTGGGAAGGAAAGGGAGAAGAGGAAAGGCATATCTATCACAGCTCACTCAGAAGACATTTTAAAAATGGAAGGCCAGCCAGAAGGGGTCGGTTACAGCTGCAAAAGTTATATATTGCTGTTTTATATGCGAATTGTTGGAAAAGGTCAGTTTACATTCCAGTTCCAAAGAAGGGCAATGCCAAATAATGCTCAAACTACTGCACAATTGCTCTCATTTCACATGCTAGCAAGATTATGCTCAAAATCCTACAAGCTAGGCTTCAGCAGTACG